ATTGCCATTAACCTCCCTCAAAATGCCCCTCCTCACTTCAAGCACACTTATCCCATCATTCTTGGCACTTTTTGAAACAGTTCTGGAAGTCCTCTTTTGTGAGTGTCTCTGGTCACGCTATCATGGCTGCCTCGATGTCCTGATTTAATTCAAAACGCTTACCTTTCATGGTCATTTTGACTTTGGGGAAGAGCCAGAAGAAGCATGGTGCCAGATCCGGTGAATAAGGTGGATGAGGACACACCATAATGTTTTTATTTGATGGAAATTACCATACCAGAAGTGATGTATGACATAGAGCATTGTCATGATGGAGGGTGAACTAAAGACACTCATGAAAGCGGACTTCCAGAACTGCTTCAGAATGTGGCAAGAAGGATGGGATGAGTGTGTTCAAAGCAAGGGAGAGTGTTTTGAGGGGGATTAATGGCAATGTGTCTTTTATTGCAATATATTTTTTAAATTTAAACATTCACCATATTGTTTGATCACACCTCATATACAGAGGGTGCTAAAAAATGTATACACATTTTAAGAAAGGAAAATTATATTAAAATTGTAATAATAAATGCCAATAGCAAAAAATGAATAGAAGTCACATTTGACTTCTGCAATAAGAAGAGGTGCTCAAAGTGGTTACCATCAGCATTCAGACACTTCTTTTTTTTTTTTTTAAAGATTTTTATTGGGGAATTGGGGGGATGGGAACAGTGATGGGGAATTGGGGGAAGGGGAACAGACAAGTTGCTGTCGTTTTGTTCTTCAGTCTAGTTGTGGAGGACGTTGCTTCACTGGCCCAAGTTGGCACCATCATTGCGCTCTTCCCGGGCGAGGCAGATCAGTCGCCGGCTGCTGGCCGCTCACACTGGCTGCTGGCCACTCACGCTGGCTGCTGGCTACAGACGGTAGCCCATGGCAACCCGCTGCCACAGAGGCTGCAGCCCACGCCGTCGCCGGCGACCCACGGCAGCCCAGCTCCAGGTTGAGCTGTTGTTCAGCATCTTAGCTGCAGAGGGCAGTGTCACTGGCCCTCATATGTGGGATCCGAACCGGGGCCCTCTGGCATCCCAAGCGAGTTCTTAACCATCGCGCCACTCGGCCGGCCCAGACACTTCTGATTACAGCAAAGTACTGCTTGAGCAACATTGACAAAAGTGTCCACTTGTATACATTTTTTGGCACCCCAGTATATATATATTTTAAGTTATAGTTGACATTCAATACTATTTTATATTAGTTTTAGGAGTACAGCATGGTGGCCAGGCATCCATACAAATTATTAAGTGACCCCCCATCAAATTCAGCACCCACTTGACACCATATGCAGTTTTACAACATTTTGGACTATATTCCCCATACTGCACTTCACATCCCTGTGACTATTTTGTAACTACCAATTTGTGATTCCTAATCCTTTCACCTTTCTCAACCATCCTCCAACACCCCTGCCATCTAGCAATCATCAGCTTGTTCTCTGTGTCTATGAGTCTATTTCTGATTTGTTTGTTCATTTATTCTGTTCTTTAGATAAAATTTTCCTTTCTAGAAAATCCTCCCCATAAAATTCACCCACAGAATGAGCTCTGTTTTTTGGGGGGGGGGAGGAGGGGTAAGGGAGGATAAGCGGTAACATCCTTGAGACATGTGGCATAGCCCTGGCTACCTGTCATCAGTGGTCAGTGGATCTGCTTCCAATGACCATATATTTTCTGAATAATGTCAAAAGAGTATTGTAGGGAAACCAGCTATAATATGAGGAGATTCCAACTCTGAGCTTATGCAGTTTTACATGCCTTCACTTGTTAAATCTTTAAAGCATGGCAATAACATCCGTAATTTACAAGTGATGAAATTGAAACTCAGTGAGTTAGAGTAACTTATGATTACCCTGTTAGTAAGAGTAAGGCCTAGATTTTGAACATCGGCAAGTCTAGTTACACTCAAATCCTGGGTGCCATATTAAAGTCTTCCCGGGGCCGGCCGAGTGACTCAGCTGGTTAAGAGTTCACTCAAAAGTGTGAGCTCTGAGCAACAGTCGTTCGAGTCCCAGCCCAGAGCTGAGCTGCCGCTGAGCTGACAACAGGTGGCAGGATGGCTCAGCTAAAAAAACAAAAAAAAGTCTTCCCAATTGCCTACATGTTTAACTGGAGAGAAAGGATTTGTGCACAAGCAAGTTTTCCAACCATGACCATCATAAGCTGGTGATGTGTGGTGACCCCTGGTGCTTTGCAATCACAAACTGTCATGTGCAGAAATGTAGAGCCTTGCAATCATGCTTCCAGTGTCAAAATCAAGTTACTGCAAGTTTCTTGAAGTTTTTTTCAAATCTCAAATACTACTAGAGCTTTTAATGCACTAATCCTTCTCCTAAAAATGCCTAAAGAATATCAAAAATTTATTAAATTGTTGAAGCTGGGTAATGGATTCATGGAAGTTCATTATATAGTCCATTTACTTCTGTGTATATCTGAATAATTTCATAAGAAAAAGATTTTTCAAAAGTTAATAAAAGTAATTTATGTAAACCTTTTCAAGGTTACATCTTTTGGGAGGTACAATATAAACATAATTTAAAGTTGGTTTGTGCTATAAAATTGAATCAGCAGTTTTGCATGATTAAAATCTAAACATTTACACTAAATTACTTGATTATTCAAGTTCAAAATTTATAACTGAATTCCTTTTTGCTAAATGGAGAAATAATTGCCCTTTACAGTTCTATATTTAAGTTCTATTCTTCTAAAATAATTACAAATAAATTTGATAACATATTCCTTTCAATTAGTAACAGTCGACCAGTAAAGTATGGCAATATGATGCTTTTAATTGCCATTGGATTTTCCTAATCCTAAATGATAAAAATTACTATTACAATTTGCTCCTTATAAAATACATTTTGAGAACGATCCATTTATACCATGAGGTATTTTTACTGCGTTAATCTCTTCAGTAAATTTCATTGTGGGTGTTCTAAAAATGATGTCAGATGGCTTTAGACAAATAGTAAGCCACAAGGAAGTAACCTAGTTGAACAAATTGAGAGCATTGGGCTTGTGATGGGTTGGGACTGGGCTGATGCATAGATAGGTTTTTCTAGAGCTGAGTGTAGTTTCAACTCCTTGTCCTGTGTGAGAGAAGTTGTACACCCATGAAAAAAGCTTAGAAGTCAAACCCTTGAAGGATACTCCTCTACACACACACACACACACACACACACACACACACACACACACACACAAAGGAACTCCTGACGAAGCACATTTGGGGCTATCTCAATCATCTTGTGGCTTCAAATGTCATCTCCCTGCTGATGACCCCCAGATTTATACTTCTATTCCTGGCCTCGGGCCTGTGCTCCTGGTGTATGGACTCTGCTGTCTTGCTGACATCTCCACTTAGATGTCTCTGAGGCATCTCAGACTTCACATGTCCAAATCTGAGCTCCTGTCTCTCCTCCAAAACCTGCTCCTCCTGGAGGCTTCCACATCTTAGTTAACTGTGGCTCAGTCCTTTACGTTGCTCAGACCTAAAATCTTAAACTTACCTTGAGCATCTTTCTCATACACTCCATCCAACCCATCCACAAATCTGTCCACCTTCAGAATATATCCAGAATCCTACCAATCAGCAACACTTTTTCAACCAACCTGGTCTAAGCTACCACTATATCTTCCCTGAATAAATGAATAGCCCCTGCCCTGTCTCTCAGCTTCTGACCTTGCCAAGCTACAGTCTATTCTCAACACAGAAACCAGGGCGATTCTGTTAAAAGGGCAGTCAGACAACCTCAGTCCTCTGCTCAGGGCCCACCAATGGCATCCCATTTCACTCAGAGTGAAAGTCAGAGCCTTCCTGTAAACCATAAGGCTGCGGGGTTGGGCCTCCTTACCTCTCACATTCTTCTCCCTGTCCTCCGCCCCTCTCACTCTGTCCTAGTCCCACTGGCCTCCTTGCTGTACCTCAAACACCAGGCCCTTCTTGCCACAGCATGTTACATTGCTGCTTCCTCTGCCCAGGAATGTACTTGCCTTCTGTTTCTTCAGGGTTTTCCTCAATGTTGCCTTCTCAAAGAACCCTTCTTGGCCAGCCTATAAACACTTCAACCTCCTACATAAACCCAACATTTTCCCCCTCCTTTTCTGATTTATATTTTTCTCCTAAGCATGTATTATCATCTAGTATATACTACATATTTCACATTTTTTTAATTACCCCTACCTTATGTACTTCTAGAGTAGATTTTCTACCTGTCTTGTCCAGTGCTGTATCCCCAGTACTTGGAGCAGTGCTGAGCACACAGTAGGCTCTGTGAAATAAAGTAATACATCCTAATATTGCCATATGAGGTAGGTACTATTATTGACCCTTTTTCAGAGATGAGGATTAAAAAAACAAAAACTGAGGCTAAGAGAGGATAAGTAAGTGGCCCAGGGTCACACAGTCGTGTCAGAGCTCAGTTTCAAAGCAGCAGGCTCTAGAGACTGAGAAGTCTTGCCAGCTTCCAAAAGGAAGAAAAGTCATGCAGAAAGTGGATATGGGAGGTGTGAAAATAAGTCTTCCTGCTCTAGAGTAGCCATGACCACAGCTTTCGTTTGTATTCTGAAGAAACAACTCATTTTCTTCTCTGGCTTTTCCCACTATCATTTTTCATGGCCCAAATCCATATGTGTCTTCCTTCCAGTGATGTGGGGGTCCTGGTTTGACCATGTGAAAGGCTGGTGGAAGAAGAAAGACAGTCACCCGATTCTCTATCTTTTCTACGAAGAAATGATGAAAGTAAGAAATATACTTGAATCTTGACTTCACAGTATTTTTTCTGAGTTACAGATCCATGATAGAAATGAAGGAAAATAATATGTAAAAGTTTATCTATGCAAAGTATTTTGCATGCCCCCTTCAACTTCTCCCACCACCTTGCCATGTAGCATACAAAACTCCAAACATGGTACTAGTACAATATCTACCTACCTGCAGGCCTCACTGCACTCTCTGACCAATGCCCACCTCATCCAGACACATGGAGGAGGTCTCCTGTTTGAGCTACACGTTTGCTCTCTCTTAGAGCTCCGGGTTCATCCTTCTAGGATCTCTACCTCCCCCCATTATTTTCTCTGACTTTCAAGGAAAAGAATTAGGTCTCTTAACAGGAAAAAACTAGTGAGGAAGAATAGAACTGCTTTGCTTTGTTTGCTTACTTAAAATATTAAAGTTCTGTCATTTGAAATAAAAGTTTCCCATTAGTAACATCCTTGCATGTGTAATCTCTGGTTCAAAGTCTGTCTCATAAATTTATGTGTAAAATAAGTTGATGGCACAGTGTACCCCTGGCTGGTCCATGGTTTTCCAAGCCTCGGTTTATGACACGGATCACCAGCTCATATCCTTCATTAACCATGGCCACTCTTTCCTCTTCCCCATCTAGGTAGACAGAATGCACTGCTTCCTTCCTTCCATCTGTTTGGCTGAGGTCTATCCTTGCTTTCTGAAGCTTTCCTAAGCTTCCCCCAGCTCTGTGCCTGTTTGAGACAGCCACAGGGAATGGACAGCTAGCTGCAAAGGACATGAAAACTTGATGCAGAGCTGCCAGGGAGAAGAGGAGCGACCTGCAAGGTGGAGCCTTGGGACCCTCAAACAGGGCAACCCCCACACCACTTTTAGACGAGGCAGGAAGCCATTTCAGAGTGTAAGAGGCTCTCACGAGGTCCATCTATAAATAGGTGTACCCAATATGCACAGATTCAGGAATAAGCCCAGGTCCAGAGTCACCAGACATCAAAGCTGAAGCCAAGGGCGCACAGCTCCTCTGTACCATGCCAGAGCAATGTAAGCTCCATATGTTTGTTTTTCCAATCACAAGGAGGAAACATGTCTTGTATATTTTGAAAGACTGCCACCTGTTCTCCCAAATAGCTATAGCACAGGATAAGACACAATTGCTTTAATATAATTCACTTTAAATTGCCATGTTTATTGATCTGATACTCATAAATTTACACATAATGATAAGCATAACTTAACAGGCTTTTAAATGATTTACCCATTGTTCCCATGCTTAATTCTCTAAGGTTTAGCTGTTGTTACATTTTTTCCTTTGATAGAAAATATCTACTATGTTTCTTCTACTCTTTCCCACAGGACCCAAAACGTGTAATTAGAAAAGTAATGGAATTCCTAGGGAAGAACCTAAAAGAAGAGGTTTTAGACAAAATTGTCTATAACACTTCATTTGATGTAATGAAAAAGAACCCCATGACCAACTACATAAACGACCCTGAAATGAATCATAATCTTTCTCCGTTCATGAGAAAAGGTGATGTGTACATGCTCTTTGTCTTTCTTCCAATAATAGAAAAAAAAGTTATCAATTCATAAATGGTTTTCTAACATTGAAACTCAGTGCATCATTATTTACAGTGTTTCCTGAAATGAGTTCCTTAAAGCCTCATTCCGAGAGATAGCCCATGTAACACACTTTTTACAGAGAATATGGGAGCTCTACATACTATATCCAGCCCCATTTGAAGTACATGAGCATATTACATTTTCTGAGAAGAAACTTGTTTAACTTAGAGCTTAACTCAGAGCTTCAAAAATGTATTTGACCAAAAACTCTTTCTCAAGTAAAGCCTTTAGTCTTCAGGAAGCTAGTATTCCTCCCAATACATTCTGGAAGACAATGGAGAAGGTCACTGGCCTTAAAAGTTGGAAGGGTGGGACATTACAGGTCACTTAGTCAATATCACTTCACATAGAATAACCAAGGTGACACAGTAAGTTGTTGGAGCCCGGCCATAACCAGGACCTTCAGCCACCAAAGCAGAATACATCCTATGCTGCCACATTACTGACTCCTTAATAGAGACAAAATTTGTGAAGTTGTAATTATTCTTAAAAAATGAAAAACAATATTCTAGTACCTTTGGTTTGAAAAAATGAGCAAAAACCTATATGGCTCAAAGAAGAAATTTTCAAATTTGATAATTGATTACTCAATTTTCATTTTTTTATTGAAAAAAGTTTGTCTATTTAACCAGGTACATATATATTTATATACACAGCAATATACTATACATGCTGAGTTTTCTGAGGTTTCGGGGGTTATGTTTTCCAGCTTTATTAAAGTGTGATTGACAAATAAAAATTGTATATGGTTAAGGTGTACATGATGTTTAGATACGCATATAAGTTGTGAAATGATTATCACAATCAAGCTAATTAAAATATTTATCACCCACATAGTTACCCTTTTTGGTGGGGGAGTAAGAACACTTGAAATCTACTCTCTTAGCAAACTTCAAATATATAATAAATTTTTAATTATAATCATCATGACATACATTTGGTCTCCAGAATGCATTCATCTTATAACAAAATTTGTAGCCTTTGACCAACATCTCCCATTTTGTCCCACCCATCAACCCCTGGTAACCACTGTTCTA